TCCAAGGCTAGTTTGGTTGGTACCATTGGTGGTCCCAAGGAGGGGTGGGGTGGTATCATCAGGTTCTGTCATCACTTTGAAGGTAGTACTCCAGTTTGTGGATCCTTGCGTAAATTGCATTGGAGGAACCTGTAAGACATACATGTAGCAATTAGTTACAATTTATTGAACTTTTACATACACACACATGCACACACACACACGCGCACACAAAACACACACATGCACACACACAGACACACATGCACACACACACACACATACACAGTCACGGTGACATGCACACACACACATGCACACACATTCACACACACACACACACACACACACACACACACACATATGCACATATACACATGCGCACACACACATGCACACACACATGCACACCCACATATGCACACTTACATACACACATGCACACAAACACACACACACGCTCACTCTCTTCAAAACATGACCCTCTTGGCAAAGATAATAATACCTTACCGTGGGGTTACCATGATCCTGGGTGTCGGGGTAAACCCCCACCATTATTCCTGCTGTTATCAGTCCAACCATGACCAGGAAAATTACTAAAGCGATGACGTAGCAATAACGATAGATTGGAGAGTCATCTGTTGAAAACAAAATTAATGTTTTATACAAAATATACTGATTTCCTTATTCTTTTTTATGTACATATGAAAAATGTGATTTAGTGAAAATCATCCATGTTGTTTGATTTGTTTTGAATGTCTTGTATGTCAAATCATTGTGTATCAGGTAGTAAGTGGGTTGGTGGAAAAACCAGTCCAGTCTGGACAGGACCAGTTTTTCCACCAACCCAGTAGTAATTTAAAGGAATACTCCACTCCTGAAGTAACCATGTAACAGACAAAAAGGTAAACAAAACACAGACATTTACGAGAAATTAACACAATAACAGAAAGTACAACATTGTCTACAAACTAGAGTGTTTAAAGAGTTGTTATATACCAAAAAAAGGAGTGTCAATGAACAAATGTATGGATGAATTAATGCATGCACGACTGTGGAAATGAACATTCATTTATAATTTTGTGGTCTTAGATACATGTGTTTCTATGCAGGGCTCGAAATTAAAGGTGGTCCAATGGCCACTGACCACTAAAATTTAGGCTGGGACAACTAAAAAGACACTTTGGGACATTTTCGTGACTATAGAAAAATTATTGAATCAACATCAGAATGCCAGCCCTACTTTTGTTTTTCAGGCACACCTCCCAGCTTTTGGATCCGGAAAAGTCCCCCCGAATTTTCTGTCTACTATGCAATTATAGTGCACATAAGTTGGAGTCATACAATACCTCCCCAAAACAGGTACCGGTTGGGACAGTTCATCCTTTCTTCAGGGGAATTGAAATGTATTTTTGGGACAATGTTGGGACAATAGGAAGGCGTCAGGTGGTGTAGTGGTTAGAGCAATCGACTGTGAACCGGGAGACTCGGGTTCTAATCCGAGTTGTACCCGGGACATGTCTGAACATGTGCCCGACGTTGTGCCCTTGGGAAAGGCACTTTACACAAATTTCCTCACTCCACCCAGGTGTGAATGGGTACCTAACTTTGGTTGGGGAAAGTCGTATTGAGGTCACCTTGTGGCGCCGAATGGCAGCCGCACAGACTATTGCGACAGTTCCACAAAAATGATTGTGGAACAAATATGTGTATCATGTGTATTATTTGATTGCTGTAATTTGTTGTGATTTGTATTATGTGATACCCTGCATCAATTCAGCCATATAAAGGCTGTGACTGCACGGGTACTGTTTGGACAATAAAAAAAAAGTACCATAATTTCTAGGCCTACAGTCTTACCTCCTGCCCTCTTATTGGGCATGTTTGCTCCGGATCCTCCATACATCGCATTTGGCTGTAGTGATTTCAAGTTTGGTTGGGATTGAAGCTTCTTTATTTTCCTGATGTCACCCTTTGAGTCCTTAGTGTTGGAGGGACCCTGTAGGTCATGTTCATTACTGACGTTGTCTGCTTGCTGTGTGCTAATGTCAGGCAGTTCTTCGTACATCGGATTTGTCAGTACTCTTTTCTTTGGATCTTCGCAGTCATGGATGTCAGGTACATTGCTTGTTGCGTTGTTAGGTGTTCTGATGTTGATATCGTCAGAGTTGATAATAGTGTCATCTAAAGTCCCTGTGGTGTCTGGGTGCTGCATACTACTAGTAGGTGCTCTTTCTGTGTCTTCTACATGTGGATCACTAGCATCTACAGGTGGCCCAGAGACACTGTTGTTATCTTCAGGTTTGTGCTCAAAGTACTGATTTACACAGTTATTATGATACACAGGTTCAGCATTATTGTCAGCAATGTTTGTGGCCTCTGCTGCTGATCTTTCTTCATCAATACTTGAAACATTCCCAGGGGAGGTTGACATTGTTTTTGAGTCAGTGTTTTCAGTGTACAGTGTACTAAGTTCTTGGGTTTCTAACATTGTTGACCAGTGTGGTTTATCTTCAGGCTGATATATTGGATTGTCTTCATCATTAACTGCTGCAAGTGTAAGGTCAAGTTTAAGGATATGTTTTTTGTGGTTAACAATTGTCAAGTTTAAATGTAAAAGTCCACTTTTCCTATTTTGGCAAATGCTAAATATTGAACATACAAGGCTTTAGTTAAAATTATTAAATTTATTATTAAGTTATTATAATAAAAGATTTTTACTATGGACAAAAATTTTCTACAGTTATGTAATGTCATTTACGTTAGCATGATCAATGATTAAAACCTTTTCAGGCACAAGATACAATTGTAGCTGAATTCTGTACATGACTGTAAGGCCACACCAATTTAATTTGTTGATTCATGGGTTCGCCCGCTTCATTTTTGATTTGTAAAAAAAAAATTCAGGCTCTGAATCAACAAAAAAATGTACATATTTTGGCTCCAACCATTGAAGGAAACCCCTTCTCTTCAGAGTTGTTACAGTTTTTCCATCTATGGTTTGTTAAAAAGTTTGAAATTCATTGTGAAATTGAAAGTTTCAAATTGCAGACCAGCATGGTATGTTGACTCTATGGCTCATATCACAGCATTTGGGGCTATCATATGTGTAGGTCTGTTTTTATTTTAATTTTTTTTTGCCCTGTCGCTTCGTATGTTTTCTGAAAAAATCTGAGAAGCAACAAATGAAATTGGTGTGGCCTAAAAAAATGTTACCCTGCTGTTACCTGTAGTGGATGATATGTCTTCTGACTTGGTTGTTCCAGACATCCTCCGGTCAAATGGTTTTGGGAACTGGTTATCTTATCATTGGGTTTGTTTGTTCTCAGATAAGCTTAACTGGAAAAACACAACAAAAACTAGAGTTTGGCAATCTCATACCTCCATGACCTGTTTAGTGCTTTAATGCATGGTGTTGACCACCTGTAAATGGCTTGCATTTACAATCCTGCGCATTATCAAAATTTTTATGCAATTTTTTTGCATATATTATCAGTTGATCATATTCTCCGCCAAATGCCAGCATTATCTTAAGAAATAAGGCTATTCTTCCTTATCCTCATAAATTATGCAAATCAGGTCTTGATTTGAATAAATTATAGTCATAATCTTTGTTAACAAAACAAAACAAAACAAAACAAATACAACAGTTACTACAACTCAGGAAAAGTGTGAAACTGTGATAATATCAGCACCAAGGACAGCAATTGATGTCACAATTATTCTAAAATTAACATGTCTAAGTCTAATGTTATCTGCTGTATTCAAGGACGCTACTATAGTAAGGGTTAAGAATTTACCAGTCTTTTTTTGCTGAATCCCACCCTAGTGCCCCTGGTTGAGTTTATCATGGACCAGTGCAGGTTAGGTTTAGGTAGATTCCATAAAAACAGGCTAGAGACAGCTCTAGTTTTACCAGCACTGTTTTGACTTTTGATATTAGTTACATGAGTTAGTTTAGAGCTATGGCTTAAATCCTGAAATCTGACGTGTTAATTTGTCAGCAATTGTCTGTAAAAGTCACAAAATACTGTACAAACCATTTAGATGACTACAGTGATTGCTGATTGGATACACATGTAAAGCTTAATCACACTCTGTGTTGAAGTAAGTTGGAGACTTTACAAGGAGAAAATGGCTCCAATCTTGCTCAGTGTATATGTGAAGTAGACTAATTATGATAACCATGATAGACTGGACACCAGGCTAAAAATATGCTGGACCTGAGGCACATTAGAAATGTATGCATCAGCACTTACCAGTAGGGAATTCCTTAAGAACACTTTTACTGTCAGTGACCACCTGGCTTTCTGTATCAGTCTCTGAGAGTTACTGACAAATTCTACACTCAGGACAAATACGCCCAGTCAGATCTGGGCGAGGTGTGGTAGACTAATGAGTAGATTAAGAACTGCTGATGGTGTGACGTATAGTTTTAACATTTATTTTATTCATCATAAGCAATGTCTGTAACCATATAAGGACAATACCCTTGTCCAATAGCTGTTTGCCAACTGGTGGTGTTTTTACAACGTTGCAGTAAAAAGGCTCAATTTGATTACAATTTCTTTTGTATACCTTGTTTATTGCAGACAGCATATTGCAAAATTAATGAATAGTAAATACAGAAGCAGGGTCTGCTAAATACCTCATTCAAATGGCCTTAAGGCCACACCAATTCATTTTGTTGGTTCTCAGACATTTTTAGTTCAAAAGATAGCAAGCGGACATAATAAAATGAGAGGGCTAGGAAGAAACTAGCTTATGGCTATATTTACTACATAACACTGAGTCCACCGAGGCATACATTGTAAACCAGATCCTCAGACTTTGCTTTCTTTAGGCTTTTCTAGTTAACCTTATTTTCAAAAAAATCCGAGAACCAACCAACAAATCAAATTGGTGTAGCCTAACCAATCTCAATCGGGCCTATTGTGCCTTTTTATTGCTCTGGTTACATTCATTTTAGATACTGATCTAATACAATTTATGCAAGACGTTGCTTCCTCTTTTATTTCTAGGTTGCAAGAGAAGGGGCACACCGTTGTTGGTGTAGAGTTTGTGGAGAAGGCAGCCCAGCACTTCTTTGAAGAACATGGCATCAAACCTACTGTATCAGAAGAGCCCTCTATCGACGGGGGCAAACTTTACAAGGTATAGTACATATATTGTTTAGGGCTAGCTATGGTACTACAATATCTTGTCATCGAGTTTGCAATCTCTGATGTATAGATCAAGTTGCAAGTTCATGCCTAATAGCAACGTGAAACAATATATAGAAGTATACAGACAGTGTATGCTAACTGATGATGGCAAGTGGGCAAGTGACTATTCTATGTTATGACAAGTGGGCAAGTGACTATTCTATGTTACTGTCTAGAAATACAATCTGAGCTTTTCGGGTTTTAGTTCTTTTTGTCAAGACGAAGTGTCTCACTTTTTCTGCAATGCGTGGGTTGGGAGGTTAACAGGGTGGTAGTTTTTGTCAGTACATGTATCTGATATTGCTATATGGATGATTTATTGATGATTATTGATCAAAATCTTTTAAAATCTTTGACAGGGCCTTGATGGAAAGATCTCTATCTACATCTGCGACTACTTTGATTTTAGCAGGTAAGGGAATATGTAATCATAATACATTGTAATTGTAACAAATTTCACCTCCCCCCTTTTGTTTGATGAGTAAGACCCACTTCTATTAAAATGTGATTGTTGAGCGATCAAAACTGAAAGTGTAACCCGTATTCTTAAAAACAGTACCGGAATACGATGCTCGACATAAAAAGCATAATCTGAAAGAAAATAAAGCACACAAAATGTAAAAAAACGTTTCTTTCTTTATCTAATATTATAAAATCCGTTGATCGACCTCTTACTTCCGAAGACTGCAAGATTATAATAGTAATTTGTGTTCCAAATTCTCTGCATGCAGTGCTGCATGTGGCCAGTTTGATGCTGTATGGGACAGGGGATCTCTCATGGCTATGGAAGTAAAGGATCAAAAGAGGTAAGTGTTCAACCTAAGGCCATTACAGCACCTGTATGCAACAAACAAACTGTATCAAAATCACGAAAATGTCCATCTAGTCAAATCTGGTCAAAGGAGCTGGAATTGTCTTTAAATATCATAAACCTGGATGTCTAACTTCCAACACTGCATAAATCTAATAATATGGAGACATCATTGCATGGAGTAAAGAGACTCATTTTACACAACCAAGTCTTTTGTTCAGCCGACGTTTCTGTGACTGTCTGTCACCTTCCTCAAGGAAATTCTGACTGGTTCACATTGCACTGCAGCTCTGGTGTCACTGCTATAGATGCGTTCCCAAAATGTACAATATAATTGCATTCATGCAAATAATTTCCTCATATTTGGGGGTATATAAATGTAGTACATACCTTTCCTTGATCAATATTATACTAATTTGCAGGTATGTGGATCTGACCAAGTCCCTGATGAAGCCAGGTGCCAGGTACATGGTGGAGACATTCGAGTGCAGCGAAGGTCAAGGTCAGAGCAAAGGGCACGGACATGAACCTCAGCATCATCACCATGGCAACGAGCATACACAAGCTCATCACTCTCATGGAGAGGGTAACTAGCTTTTACTGCAAATCAACATTTTCAATGACCTATTATAACAGTTTTTACCACAAGGGAAGAAAATATCCTTCCACGAGAAGGGTACGGTTTTTGGTCATGTTTGTGTGTTTGCAACTATAACTCATGGTAGGTTTGACAGATATCTCTCAGATTAACACTTGCCATTGGTACACTTTCTTCTAGTATTCATTGCACTATTTCATTTCTCTAGTTAACAACTATAATGATTCAATTTTCTTCCCAATTACTAGGAGGCGAGGACTTTATCACAGGAGAGCAGATTGGAGGGCTGTTTGGTACGTACATATAGAATACATCACGGGGTATTCCGTATCGCCCGAGGTATCGGCCCGACCGCGGGTCGGATCGCCCGACGGCCGCAGGCCCGAGGGCGATCCGACTCGCGGGAGGGCCGGGACCGAGGGGGATGCGGAATACACCGTGTTGTGTTTTATTTATATCATACCCACCCAAGAAAACACGCCTTTCAATGCAAGGTGAGCCAAAAGTTGGTGCCCCTAAACCCTAAAATGCAACAACATCAGTTCCAACGTCCGGATTCTGTATTCAAATTTTCGAAAGGGGCACACGCGGTTAGGGCGAAACGCGTTCGAATCGTTTTATGGAAGCCAGGGAAGCGTTCGATAACGGGTTCAGGACCAGGCCGTACCGTAAGTACGGCCTGGTCCGGAACCCGTTATCGAACGTTATCGCGGCCCGGGTATGATATAAATGTAGATATTGATTATCATAAGTAAAACCATGTTTATTTGATTATGACTTACGCATCTATTTGTAATACCAATATCAACTGTCATTTGCTGCTGATTCTTATTTTAAATTATTATGTTTACTGAAATAAAACATATTGTTTTTGCTCTGGTCCTCTTCTTCTTCTGAAGTTCCAAACAAATAAGGTAAATGACCTGAACCAGTCTGTGACCATAGTAACTAGTGTTGGGTTACATCATGTTGCAATTTTATAGCAGGAGGGATTTAGATTGACCATATATGTGAATGTGTTTGAGTAAAAATTAACAGAGCAGACCATATGCAAAGGTAAACATTTATGCATTTGATTTACAAGTAATATAATAACTTTCTACCGGCAGTTACTTAAATTTTCCCCATTATGCCACAGGAGCTGGTTATGAAATTTCCTGTCTGGAAGACAAAAATTCTCCGGAGGACGAGTTTGCAAAGCAGCATGGGTACATCAGTCTCATCTATTTCCTGAAACCTAAGTAACCTCAGAACCACAAATTACTTCATCAACGTCAATTTAGTTTTGTTTGTTTGTTTGTTTGTTCATTTGTTTGTTTGAAATTTAGAGAATACATTTCATACATCACTATGTTCTGAGGTTCATTTTGCTGAATGTGTGTTTTGTCAGCACATTAGTCTAACAGCAAATTGTATTTCATAACAATTTCTGTGTTTTCTACATTTTGTATAATTATGGGCTCTGACTTTTTTGGTTCAGACTGGTAATTTGAATCGTCATCTTATTACCATGATGATAACAGTTACTATAATACTAACCATCAATGTTAGATGCCAATTCTCTTTCGTCCTTTCTGCGGAAAAGATTGGCAGTTAAAATAGGTTTGGTAACCAGGCTATATCAATGTTACATGAAAACTCCCAGGCAGACTGAACACCATAATGATTGTTTTATTGACCTCACACAGTTTTAAAATCATGGTGATGCAAACTTGCGGTCATCTGAATATGTACTATATAAACGGATTCATTCCACAAGTGTCCATTTACAAATAACTCACTCTAAAACAGGGTATGACCAATATTGCCTAGGATGAATTTTACACTGCAAGTAATAAACGGAAAAGCATTAAAGATGATAATTCATTTTGTTATTTAGTCAAATGATTTGTAGAAATGATTTGCAGTTAAGAAAAATAAACGAGCTACAACATTCATACTAAAGAAATATATGTCTAAATCTACACTCAGGACTATATAATGATAATAAAAGCTTGTTCCATCAAAAGTGTCCAGAATTTTCACACATTGTGTATTGATACATTGAGAAGTTTAACACACAGGTAATATATTTGTGATTACTGAATGCACAGTGCAAAATAACACGTTATGCTGTCAAAATATTCAGTTCGGTAAACTTTCACTGCGAAGTAATATTCAATATAGAATACATTCTTCTCATTAAAACATTATGCATTATGTACAACAACATATCCAAATTTTGACTTTCGCTTCATAGTATTTAAAGAATCGTCTAACATTATGATACAATAGTAAACTGATCAAATCCTTTCCTACTAAACTTTTGTCAATTAGCATAAATTAGTCGTGTTAATCATTAATTAGTAGTAGTAATGTTCTATATAACCAGGCAAATACAAATCAATAAACACAAAGTGGATATTTGAATCATAAGGTATTTCTTAACTCAATTGTTAATTTTTGGTTTTGTTACACTTTCTAGTAGTAACACCACACCTGTTACATGTTCTGATGTAGTCATTTGTAGAATTTTTTCAGTACATTTTTATGCTCCTTTTATTTTACATGTTCTGTTATAGCCAGTTGTAGATGTACGCAATTCATACGCCTGTTACATGTTCTGATATAGTCAGTTGCAGTTGTAACACTATACGCCTGTTACATGTTCTGTTGTATCCAGTTGTATTTGTTGTAACTAACTATATGCCTGTCCTGTGTTGTTGTCAATTAAAGATGTACCACTATACGCCTGTTACATGTTGTATGTGTTGTATCCAGTTGTAGATGTACCACTATACGCCTGTTACATGTTGTGTTGTATCCAGTTGTAGCTGTAACACTATACACCTGTCCTGTTACATGTTGTGTTGTTGTCAATTAAAGATGTACCACTAGATGCCCGTTACATTCTCTGTTGTATCCAGTTTTAGCTGTAACCTGTCATGTTACATGTTCTGTTTTATCCGGTTGTAGCTGTAACACTATACACCTGTCCTGTTACATGTTGTGTTGTTGTCAATTAAAGATGTACCACTATACACCTGTTACATGTTGTGTTGTATCCAGTTGCAGTTGTAACACTATACACCTGATGTTACATGTTGTGTTGTATCCGGTTGTAGATGTAACACTATACGCCTGTCCTGTTACTTGTTCTGCTGTTGTAGCCAATTGAAGATGTGCCACTATACACCTGTTACATGTTGTATGTGTTGTATCCAGTTGTAGCTGTAACACTATACATCTGTCCTGTTACATGTTGTGTTATTGTCAATTAAAGATGTAGAATCTGATGTATACCACTAGATGCCCGTTACATGTTCTGTTGTATCCAGTTTTAGCTGTAACCTGTCATGTAACATGTTCTGTTGTATCCGTTTGTAGCTGTAACACTGTACACCTGTCCTGTTACATGTTGTGTTATTGTCAATTAAAAATGTACCACTATACACCTGTTACATGTTGTGTTGTATCCAGTTTTAGCTGTAACCTGTCCTGTTACATGTTCTGTTGTAGCCAGTTGTAGATGACCTCCTCATTGTCATTCATCCACCTGATGTTGGCCTTGGTCTTCTCGATGGCCTGCTCGATGGCCCTGGTGGCCGAACCGGCATTGGGATGTTTGGCGGCGAAGTCAATCAGCTATGTGGGAAAGATATAGGGCTTATTAAGAATTCCATATTGACATGTTGTGCTTCAATATCATTTCTCTAAGTTGAGATTTTATGAAGGCGAGAAAGTTGCTAAACCATTAAGCCTTGATGAATAAGATAGAGTTTTTTTACGGATACGTATGTAGAGCTTTCTACACAGACCGACTCACAACTTCTCCAAAAAGACCTGAACACCCTGGAAGAATGGCAAAGCAAATGGCTCATGCAGTTTAATCCCGAAAAATGCTACATTATGCACATAACAAACAAACGAACACCACATGCAACTAGCTACCAGTTTTGTGGTCAGGCTTTAGCAACCACAAAAATCCATCCGTATCTGGGCGTCACGCTGACAAGCGGACTGAAGTGGGGTGCACATGTTAATAATATCACAACTAAGGCGAAACAGACATTGGGAGTGATTAAACGTAATCTGTGGGCATGTCCAACGAGAGTAAAATCACTTGCATACACGTCACTTGTAAGACCGAACCTAGAATACGCTGCGACAGTATGGGATCCATATACAAAGAAAGACAAAGACAAATTGGAAAGGGTACAGAATCAAGCTGCAAGATTCTGTATGAACAACTATGTAAGAGGTGCTAGTGTCACGGAAATGAAAAGAAACCTACAGTGGACCTCACTTGAAGACAGAAGAAAGATGTCTAGACTATGCATGATGTACAAAATGACTAATAAACTGGTGGATGTCCCAACTACTAAGTACCTAATACCAGCCCAGAAGAGAACAAGAAATAGCCACGCATTCAAGTACCAGAGTTATCAACCAAGGATTGAGGTGTTCAAGAATTCATTCTTTCCTAGAACTATCGCAGAGTGGAACTCACTGTCACCAAGTACAGTAGGGGCACTGTCAATAGATAGCTTTAAACAATGCCTAGAGCTTGAAGTTCAAGGGTTAGGTGGAACAAGTCGATCGGTGTAATATAGCCAGCTGCCGCCGCGCCGCGTGCCTGCGAAGCTGGTGTGTTACGCCGAAAGGCGGTTATACCGGCTATACAGATACAGATACAGATGATATCAATTGGTGAGCAGATCTCTTGGGGTCTTTCCGTGAGTGCTCAATTATACCAAAGTCTCCCAATAATCCATCAATAATATTTGTATGGGCATCATTATCAATGATGTTTGGTCACTTATTGGTTGCCCAATGGAAATGGTGCCTTCTTCAAAATCTTATAAGAAATAAAACCGGAATATGCATTTGCCACAAACAAATACGAGCAAAGACAATAATCAAAGAACGTTGTCTCAGAACTTGAAGAAACAGAACTGGACCAAGGAGCTTTAAGCAACCATGAACCTTTGATCTCACCACGACCTGAATATGTTTATCAAAATCAAGCTTTCAAATATCATTCCATAGCATATGGTAGGATGATTATAAGTATTGGATCAATGCCATGCAACAGGAAAGACAGACTGGTACCTCCTGAAGCTGGAACTCTGTGTTGAAGGCCTCTGATGCGGTCGCGATGAGCCGGGATAGCGAGGAAAACCCACCAAGTCTGCAGGTTCAACACACACAATGGTATGATTGTCTATTAAAATCAATGTTTAATATCTTGATGTATGTGTTATACATGTACATGTAGGCATATTCATTCCCTGGTACTGAACTACCATCACACACTGTCCCTGGTACTGAACTACCATCACACACCGTCCCTGGTACTGAACTACCATCAAACACAATGGTATTAATGATTGTCTTTTAAAATCAATGTTTAATATCTTGATGTATGTGTTATACATGTAGGCATATTCATTCCCTGGTACTGAACTACCATCACACACTGTCCCTGGTACTTAACTACCATCACACACCGTCCCTCACACACTGTCCCTGGTGCTGAACTACCATCACACACTTTCCCTGGTACTGAACTACCATCACACACTGTCCCTGGTGCTGAACTACCTTCATACACTGTCCCTGGTACTAAACTACCATCACACACTGTCCCTGGTACTGAAATACCATCACACACTTTCCCTGGTGCTGAACTACCATCACAAACTGTCCCTGGTACTGAAATACCATCACACACTGTCCCTAGTACTGAACTACCATCACACACTGTCCCTGGTACTGAACTACCATCACACACTGTCCCTGGTACTGAACTACCACACACTGTCCCTGGTACTGAACTACCGTCACACACTGTCCCTGGTACTGAACTACCATCATACACTGTCCCTGGTGCTGAACCACCATCACACACTGAAAGCATGTGATGTATACCTTTTGTAGGATAGGATATGCAGGAAGGGATAAACAGTTACACATTCTCCATTTTTCAACACAGAATTAATTAATTACCCATGCTGTTTACCGAGTCTGAAAAGATCTCTGTGCAAAGGTAAAGAAACTGAAGAAAGTACTGAAGAACTGGAGCCTTATTACATCCTAAGAAAGACAGACGTTCTAACGTAATAAAGCCTGGGTTTCAGACTGTTTCAAACGCTTTGAGCTGTCATGTATAGACCCTGGGAACAGACTTGTTCAATGTACACATGTAACTATCGTAAGTCGATTTTAAATAAAACAACTGAACAGAACATTGGTGAAGGTTTCATCGGTACAAAATGAAAGATGAAAGGTACTGATGAAAGGTACCGGACGGTACCTGAAACGTCTCCGTATTAAAATTTCAATCCTGCTCTATTACATTAACTGAACAGAACGTACGTCTCTTGCAGCTCTGTCCACTTGGCCCTGACGAAGTCCCACCCCAGAGACCGCCCGTACTCGTTCTGCATGACGTACTGGATACACGACCGGATGTCCTGCCGACGGACCTCCTTAGAGTTCAGGCACCGGTCCAGGTGTCTATACAGGCGTAGGTATACAAAAACATCATCTTTTTTTTGCACCGAGCAACATGTAAAACAACACATTTAAAGCACTGGGATAAGAATTAAAACACCTCTCTGCTTAGCATTCAGCATTTGGGAAATATGCAGGACATATATATATATTATAACAGAACGCGATATAATTATGGAAAAACGTTTTTATTATAGACTCCCACCCATAAATCTCAAACGCTTAACCCAACTGTCTTAATACTTTTTATGGTAACATATCAGGTGGTAATGAATATGCGGAAAGCGTTGATGAGTCCCTTGGGAATAGTCAAATTATACATAAATATACTAATTATAGATAGTGATTTTGGTATTATACATATTATATACATTTGGTATTATACATAATTATACATAACCCTTTGGACCGTTATACATAATTATACATAACCCTTTGGACAATTATACATAATTTTATACGCGTATAACACTTTGGACCATTATACATAACCCTTTAAACCATTATACATAATTATACATAACAATTTGAATTATCATACATAATTATACATAATCTATATGACCATTATATATAATTATACATAACCCCTGCACTTTTATTATGCAGTTATCTATAACTTTGGGATTATACTATATATACTTTCTTTAACCCCCTCCCTCCTGTCTAACCCCTTATCCAAAGAATTGGTAGCCAAACAGCTAATTCAGTGTGCTAAAGACCAAAACTAGGGTCTGAACAAACCTGCTGAGAATCCAGGGCTCCCTGTTACAGCCCAGAGCCAGTAGTAGCTTGGACTGCTCCGCGGCGTTGGTAGAGTACCTGTATCTGTCCCACACGAAGTCATAGTCATCCACCTTACCGTACCGCACGGCGTTACAGTACACACTGGTCTTGAAGTCCGCTTCAATACTAGTCAGAGAAATATGACGAATTCTTGGTTAATGATATGTTAAAGCTGTCGAAGGTAGCTTTAAAGTCAAAATCTTTTTTTCATCCAAGATATTCTTTTTTCACTTGTTAAGAAAGCAAGATTTCTGGTAATTGAGTCGATTCCTTTCTCTTTAAAGCTAGTCCTTTCATTGTTCATGTTGCGACTCCCCCCATGTTGACATGTACAAGAGTGAAATGACTGAATATTACTGGTTGGAAGCTAAACAATCAATACAATAAGCAATCACGTCTACGTTTTAATGTAACTAGAAACATACAATATATCTGATTTGCTACTACGTGTTAAATAGGTAAAAGCCCCCTGTGACTAGACAGAAAAGTCAGTGGTAATGTTGTTACTTACGGGTTGTTAGTGTCCGGGTCAGCCTCAGACTTCCACTGGTCAAACTTCCTCTTCGCTTCGTCAATACACGTCTCGTTGCCAAGGCGACAGTAACGGCCGATAGCTGTCACTTGTGCGAATCTGATGAAAATTCAGAAGGAAAATCAGACATTTCAACTTACTTGTAGCACACACAACATCACACAACATCTAGTAGCATAACGTACATTTGTATATTCTATGAAAGTATGAATGCGTGCCACTTACGTGTTGAGTTGGTCGTCCATTTGGTCTGCCCATCCGTAATGTTCGTACAGGTTCTGCACCCGTGTCATATAGTAATCCTTCAGGGGAAATTTAAAGAAAAACAACAGAATACCATCACAACAGCAGAAGTGCTATGCATAATACATTACTAGCTAGTTTCACACAGGCGTAGTACGTTCTGTCCACGTGCTTCCATTGGTATCCGAAGGTGGTTACATTGATGCTTAGTAACTAGGATGTTGAGTTTCATTCTATACTCTTTTTTGTACTATGTCTAATAGTCGTTGCCATACATTGTACCATGTTCAATTGCCATGCAATAAGATCTATCACGACCCTCTTCACTCCTCAAGACATGAAGAAATGTGGAAGATGCCGTTAACATTTCATTTTCAATACATAGGGTTTTGTTTCTGTTTTACTTTACGCCCTGTAGAGACCGATTTTGAAGACGTGCTTTATGATAAACCCACCAGACAGGCTCTGATTCGTTGCTTACCTTGAACATGCCGTAGACCTTTGACCTCTCTAACATGATGGTGAGGTAGGCCAGGCTGCCGACAGCGGCGCTCCAGGGTACATAGTCCAGCTCCGCGGCCAGGTACTTCGTCATGTCCAGGGCAACGGTGATGTTTAGGTCTCCCGACCTGCAGATAAAGACACAGACAGGAATATGAGCTAGGGTGGTTAGTTACTTTTGTATATAGAACCGTTCTTTATCCAGAACCATGGTTCTGCATAGTCTTCCCTTATCTATAGAACCGTGCCTGGGGCAGATCTATGTTCTTGAAGAAGCGGAGAGTACTTAGAAGGGGACATACTAACCCTGGCCCCAATCCAGAACTAGATGGGCAATTGGGCATGGTTGTAGATACGATTGTTATGAACTGTCTTTTTACTTTCCTTATTCAGGATTTTCGGCTCTTTATTCACATGTGATAAGCCAATGAGTTAAAGGATCAAAAGAAATTATGCCCTTTTTCTTTTAAACCATAGAATTCAGATATATGATGATGTTTCGGTTACATTTCATATTGATACGCCCCCAAAGAAGAGAATAAGGACAAAAATTATGATTTTCAGGACGCAGCAAGATTCTGTGTATCTTAAAGATCTTCCATCCTCTTAGATGTGAAGAAACATGGAAGCTACATATCAGTGGTTTCTCGGTGCTTCTTTTTACCTTGCAAAACTGAAAGTGTTGTCTATCAGTCCAGCCCTGTCCGTCTTCTTGAAAACCTGGTGATAGAAATGATAAGAGGTGAATTGCTTTGATTTATTCTTTCGGTTGCATGAATTCGAACGCATACAGCTTAAACTAAGAGCTACATAACTAGCCGAGATCTAGTACAAAGTTTTGGTTCAAATTCAAGTAAGTGACGTGTAACCTGAGCGCAAGCCACGATAACATTGTACCATGGAGCTTCTACAATGACGTCCTTGGATGCACCAATAATGTACATATATACGGGAACTCGGAAGCCTCGCTTTGGTGCGAGCTCACGCAAGTCCACGTCAAGAATTTGCTCTCGCGTGAACACAATCCAAAATGGCGACCGTATCTAGTATGTTTTGTTTACATCATATACATGCAAATTATTTAAAGACATATGCAAATTATCGGTAGGCAGATCAACCAATCGTTACCCGTTTATTTTTGCCTATCACTACGTGTAGCTGGCAGTGATGTCAGAGCGATCGCTGGTCATTGGAGTAAATGGTTGACACAGTACTGTAGTAAGATATATATTAAGAAGAGTAAGTGTTACCATGTGATTTGCCATCAGTGCATCTTTCAGCTTGTTCCAGTTGTCGGCGTCATAGTTTACTCTGTAGTAGTTCTTCTGGTCGATGTTTACCAAGATCCAGTTGGCATTTGGGCTGACACTTTGAAGAGTTACTGCAAGACAGAAATGTATGATATATTCCAGACTTTATCATAAGTTCTGAACAAAGCAATTTTGAAGAAATTGATTCTACTGATATTTTCAAAACTTTTATATAGTTACATAAACAGCCATTAGAAGAAAGCCTTATATAACCTACCAGTCTCGTCGTCTGGAGCCATCCATTGCCTGAGAGGGGTGTTCAAGTTGGCTGTCCCCTGTGAGTATGTCAGTGGAACATGCCACTTGTATCTGTGAATAGACAGGAGGTCAGTTTCAACTGAATATGTTGAAGTGAGGTCTTATACAGCACTATGAATTCTTCAAAACTTTTATCGTTAAAGAGATTCATTTGTCACCTATAGTTACAACAACAATTCAAACTTTTAGAAAGTAATGATTTGTGAAAATTTATAATTCATACATATCTCTATATATCGATCTATATTTATATATCTCTATCTCTATATATTTATGTATAATATATATCCATCTCTCTGTACACATATAACGATATATATACATATATAGAGAGAGAGAGAGAGAAAGAGAGACGGAAAGAAAGATTGATAGATATCTGATAGATAGAGACATATATGTTGGTAGACATAGACATAGAGATACTGATTGTGCTTATATGATGCCCATGGCCATAAAGCTAATAGAATCTGGTACTTTACCCCAAGTCGCCATATTTGTCCGTGACGTTGGCAGTGTAGTCGTACAGGAAATGCTTCTGCGTCACAGCATACTGGTTACCGGAAGTGACGACACTAAGGACAGGGTAGCCCATCTGTAGTGTCCAGGTGTCCATGACAGTCTTCACGTTATTTCCGGGCAGGTCGCCATCTTTGTTGTCAAGTTTGGCTCCCTAAAACAATGTGTAAATCGTAAATACAGTATATACAGTATACTGAATAAATACAACCGTAACATACTGTTTTAACAAGACTGGCAATGAAAACATACATTGCCATGGCGACGGTGGTTGCTGTTAGGGTTATTGTTTGCATGGCACTGCCATGATTTCATGATTTTGAGGAAGCCTTTGTACCCTCCCCTCCCCTGAGTGTATAGTGAACGAGCCCCGGGGTCACAGAAAGTACAAGCACATGTAGGGCATCCGGGGCAGACAGATTTTCCCAAGGGTTTCCAGGAATGTGGGCATGTCAACAATTAGACATTCCTGTGGACATTCCATGCATGTGGACAAACTTCCTGTACAATTCCTAGAATTCTTGCAAACTACCATTAGGCTCCTCCCTGAGACGTCGCCAAAAAGATACCGATACGTACCTCTGTCAGATAACGCCACAGGTCATCGTGAAAGGCATTGCGGTAGGCCAGAGCATTTAGGTACAGCTGTGAAGTGAAGGATTGTACAGTTGGCATCAGATCAACAACACGCACATAATTCACCTACAAATATCACAATTATCTTTGTTTCCCATCTATTTGCGTATTCTGATATTCACTGGCAATACTTATTCTTTTAACTTCATGATACATCTTTTCTTATTCAAAAGTTATTCAAACATTTTCAAAAATTTAAATGTTCATTTTGAACTTCACCATATTACTTATTCTTTTAAACTTTTTTTTCATCATTTCAATACAATATAAAATGTGACCTTTGAAGTGTTACACTACATATCACTGACCGTAAGTCCTTTCCTGAATGTGTTCTCACCAAGGAAGTCCACCATCATATAGATCAAGGAGCCGCCCTGCAGGATTCAGATTCAACATAACAACTTTTGTCAGAGATGGTTACTAGCAGTTGTCTTCGTAAAACGCCTGACGAAGGCGTGTTTTCCACGAACTCTAGTACTTACTCAAACACAGTCATATATATTGTGACCAGCCCCTCTATTGCTACATAATGTAACCCAGGCAGCACCACAGGTCCGGTCTGCCACAGCACCGGTCACCATGGTGACAGACGTCTGGTCCAGGTCATTAAATTTGTTTGAAACAAGGAGCTTTCACCAAAGCTCCTTGTATGGAATTTAAGAAGAAGGGAGAGATAAAACAGATCAAAAACAATAGGTTTCCTTCCGTAAATTTGAGGTAAACATGATTATTTTCACCTTTGCATATGAGATGGCATCAAAGATCTCGTTAATCTCGTCAGGATGATTGACAGGGACGTAGATAGGGTGGGAGTTCCCTAGGCCGTCAGGCTGGAACACTGACTGGAGGTCATCAATCACGAACTGATCTTTCTGGAAAGACGAAGAAAGACAGTCGTGTTATGTATTTCTTTATACCATAGGCACATCCTTTTTTCTCGTAGGATGTTCTTAGCGTGCTACTATTACTACTACTACTACTATTACTACTGCGGCTGCTATTACTACTACTGCTGCTTCTATTACTTCTGCTGCTACTACTACTGCTGCTAGCTACTACTGCTATTACTACTACTACTACTGCTATTACTACTACTACTGCTGCTAACTGTTATTATTACTACTATTACTATTACTACTACTGCTAGTACTACTACTAGTAGTACTACTACTACTGCTATTACACCTACTGCTGCTGCTATTACTACTACTACTGCTATTACTACTACTACTACTACCACAGCTGCTGCCACTGCTGCTACTACTACTAATACTACACTACTACCGTGATGGTTTATTCAGTACTCAAAGATCCACAGACATGTAGGCTTTCCTACATTTGGTATTGAATCGCTCTGATATACAATACCATTTGTTTCACCCATCCTTACCATCTGCCAGGTCGGTTCCACCACCCCTGTGCCGAACGACTCGACGTACGTGGCGAATCCCTCGTTTAGCCACAAGTCATCCCACCACTGGTTGGTCACCAGGTTCCCGAACCACTGAGGACACACAAATGCTATTAGTTGACATCGATGTAGAACAAGACTGGCAATGAAAACATACATTGCCATGGCGACAGTGGTTGCTGTTAGGGTTATTGTTTGCATGGCACTGCCATGATTTCATGATTTTGAGGAAGACCTGGTACCTGTTAAGTCTAGACAGATACAGTGCACTCCTCCCCTGAGTGTATAGTGAACGAGCCCCGGGGTCACAGAAAGTAGGGCATCCGGGGCAGACAGGTTTTCCCAAGGGTTTCCAGAAATGTGAGCTAGCAAACAGAGCTGGGAGACATTCTTGTGGACATTCCATGTCTGTGGACAAAGTTCCTGTACAATTCCTAGAATTCTTGCAAACTGCACACAATACTGTACCATTAGGCTCCTCCCAGAAACGTCGCCAAAAAGTATTTTAACAAACCATAGTTTTGCCCTATCGCATTAGAGTTGGAGTCTGCGAGGGATGCCATCCATCAAATGTACTTGCTGCGGCCTAATATTAATGTTCGGCAGTGTTAGGGAGGCCATATCTGGCTATGTGTTGGGTAAACATACCTGGTGAGCGAGTTCGTGCACCACGACGGTGGCGACTCGCTTCTTGTTGGACTGCGCGTCAGTGGCCGGGTTGTACAGGAGCGCCGTCTCGCGGTAGATGATCAAACCCCAGTTTTCCATGGCTCCGGCTGCGAAGTCTGGCACCGCCACCATGTCTGCAGCATGGACACACAATAGCCATTGATGTAGCCTGCTTGTAGCCTGGGTGCCAGACCCATAGCACATTGCGCCCAAAGTAATATCCTGCACACTGGGATATTACTTTGGGTCCATGTGCAATGTGTCTGGCACCCAGGCTATTGAAAATGGTCTAACAAAGATTTAGGTCTAATATCTCTTCAATTGTGTGGCAGGACCAGTAGATGCCAAAGTATAGAAATTTTAAAAAAAGTCCAATTGTTTAGTGACCCTTATGTACATGTACAATGTACATGTACACACACACACACACACATACACACACGCCGCATATACACACACGTACATTCGCACACGCGCGCGAACACACTCACACACACACTCACACACACACACACACACACACACACACACATACACATTTTATTTTTCATGTATGATTCATTCATGGAAGATAAAGATAGACATCTGAGTTTAGTACATTAGTGTAAGGGATTGTACATTGTTGTAATGCTCACCAGACTTGGGCAGTGGATACCCGACGTCATAGTACTGCTCCAGATAGGTGAGTGACCGGTTCCCGATGTCCAGGGCGTAAGCCGCCGCACCACTGTCTATCGCCTCCTTCCGTCCCCATACCCGCAACTAAGGGGGTGGGATAACAACGTAAAGAGGCAATCATCAGATATAACACAGTTACTGTTACATAAATACGCAAACACACGGACATATACAAAGACACAGATATATACATACACTTAACAGAAGCACATACACATGGGAAAACGACGTGAAAATGCAATCAGATATCAACAGCACAGTTACTTTTACAGAAAAACGCAAACACTCATACATGTATACAAGCACCACATACAAAGAGACACACACAAACACACACACGCAGAGAGGGAGAGAGGAGACAAATTCACACACAAACACGTACACACATACACACACAAATACACAGAGAAACATGCACACACAAGCACACATAAACGCACTGAGAGTGATATGCACCCGCATATACAGAGAAAGGTGGTAGATATACCACAAATCTTACGAAAATTAATGCAAAGGAACTTTAAATCAATTATCAATGGACAAATTTCAATGGACTTTAGCTGTTTCCTAGGAGGTTTATTCTTTTGCATGGAAGCCTTGTAACCCCTTCTACGTACGTACCGTGTGGCCATTTTCTGTTGTCAACTCGATGTAGCCAAAGTCGCAGACGATGAAGGCTAGGAGATAAGTGGGCATGCGCACTGTAGGCTGGAAAACAGCTTTTGTCCATCCAACTTCCGGTTGGTTGGTCTCATTCCTGGATAGAAATTAGCGATAGATTTATAAATAAGTATTGATCATTGATTGATATGAATTAAATCAATTAATATGCTTTGCTAGTTGCTGTTGACACAGATAGTAAACAGTGAAACTGTAATTTAACACAGTAATATTTAACTTGGAGAGTAACCAAAAGATACAATTTATAAAAGGGGTCTGGACCTCAGTTCACAACACGGGACGGGGGATGATACAGACTTCCAACGACCTTTGACCCATTATGACATGTGCGTACAGAAACACTATTGGAAATAACACTGAAACACTCTAAGCATGGCCATGCAAGACCTAATCACTCATATCTGTCATTACGCCCACTAATAAACTGTTCAAATAAACAAAACGTGACCGGAGTAGGAGCTTTTAGACGATATTTGTTAGCCCAAAAAGTATCCAAAATGGACCAAACGTTTCAGGAAAAATGGATTTTCAAAGATATTGGGACTAGAACTGCGTTCTCATTTTGGGGGCTTGCCCAACGCAATCACGTCAGACCTAGAGACTATGAAAACGATGCCCCCCGTACCTGATGATTGGCATGTTACTGAGCGCGCTGAGCCCTGACTTGTGTACGATGGTGGTGGTGAAGTTGGCCTTGAACGCCGGCTCGTCAAAACACGGGAACGCTTTCCTGGCGTCTGTCGGCTGCATCTGGGTAGTCGCCAAGTATCTGTGAAAAAAACAGACCGTTAACTTTCTGTGTTGCTTGTTGTTTTCTTGCTGGGAAAGGTGAAAATGTATGTTACAGTGAGGGACGAACAAGACCAAGACCATGCTACAATGATGTAGGCAAGTATATACTTGCTTTGTAACTGAGATTCATTCTAAAGGTATAAACTGATCGGTCACCTCTAAACACCCTCTACGTTTCTGATATATCAGAATCTTTATTTTCCCATACATTCCAAGATCTTGTGTGTTCAATTTCAAGCCCAAACATTCACGTTAGACTATGGTGTAGTGATATTATTTCTGAATGTGGTCTCATCTATTCCTCATAGTTGTTTTGTTGTACACAATGGGATACACAGTGGTAGTTGTTTTGACACATTCGACGGTCGTCCCTAGCTTTTCGTTTAATATAAATGTGCTATTCTAGGCCATGTAGCTTTCAGTAAGACATGCGAGATCATCTTTAGTAAGGTTGTCACCATGGTTGGACGTTTATATTTACTATTTGAGCTTTTAACTGGTCCTGTTGATTCTGAACGTCCTGACTATATTTACCCACTTCAGGTCCTATTGATGATTGTTTTCATGTAAACATTTGTCTGTAAACAGACATCAAGTGGCTTTGCTGGGTGGGCCATCCTTTGCAGATCTGATAAAGTTAACATTTGTCAGAGATAAGGAGATCTATGGGTGAAACATGTAATCATTTGTACAACCAACGGACACATTCTGTTTCTGAAGCCAGGGTGCCTTTGTCCTTATCTGCATCTATCGAATCTATGCGTATAGGATACTGTGGAAATTATGACCTACAGTCAAACCTGTACTAGTAATTACTTCTACAAAAAGACCATCCGACTATTGATATACAGTCAAACATGTACTAGTGTCCACCTCTACAAAAGGACCACCTTGTCATTGATATACAGTCAAACATGTACTAGTGGCCACCTCTACAAAAGGACCACCTGGCCATTGATATACAGTCATACCTGTACCAGCGACCACCTCTACAGAAAGGTCACCTGGCCATTGATATACAGTAATGTTTTCCGCCAGTGATATCGCATTTTTGCCTCACAGATATCAGTATGCTATGGGATAGGATTGACTAAACTAACTACATTAAAGAGTAACTTTGACAATCCAGTTTACTGCCCTGAAGTCGCCTTGGGTGCGTTTAAACCTGTTGGAAATCTTCCAGCCCAATACTTGGACCATGCCCAACCCCTGACGTTTAGAAAGAAGAGTACGTGTAATTGGGAACAGACATAACAGCATAGGTACGCAGAGGGAAGAGGATGTTTTGTTCATCGGGTTAGCACGCGTCTTTGTTTAGTTTACATGGAAAAGAGTTCGGAAACCTTCACTAATGGTACGGGATGTACAGATGTAAATAAAAACATCCTTGTCACGATTAACGTTTTCGCCCCAAGGGGAGCTGTTCGTTTTATTCGACTTGAAAGCTAGCCAATGTAAACCTAGTGTGGTGAAGCAAAGTGTGCTCTTAAAACTTCATTGCAACCTGTCGCGTTGTTTGCTACATGTACATCAATTAGCCATCAATAGCTGGGGCAACTCAAGTGTTAGAACTACGCACTGAAGCTTGCCCAGGCTTCGACAACGCCCCTTTTTTAAATTTCTCTGCGTTTCATTAGCATCCTTTTAGCTAATGTGACTTTGTAGAAATGTTACAGTTTTTACCTCCATGAAAATGGAGGTATTGTTTCTGGCATGTCTCTCTGTGTGTCTGTCCGTCTCTGTGTGTACATTTGTAGTCAGCATAACTTCGGAACGCCTTTATTGTGATGATATTTGGTATGTTAGTAGGTCAAAGGTCAAGGTCAAATATGAACCTCCTAGTGGCTGACCTTGGTACTGCAACAGAACTTTTTCATCTTTTGACCTGGACATGCTAAGGTCTTGGATTTTTAGTGACAGATAGCTTTTTCTGTCAGGAATAAGTGGTGTACTGTCCAGTTCGTTCTTTTGAGTTGCTTATTTCTTTGGATATTTCAACCGCGTCAATTGTTGTCGAATCATCCATTCTTTAATCACACCTTAAACAATGCGTAAAGGTTCCGTTTCTTACATTGTATATAACTTTAAGCGTGCTTAAAGATGTGCTTAAAGAGATGTTTTAGGTTGGCAATGGCAGGAACTACTAAAGCATTTAGAAGTCATGTCATGGCAAGTATTACAGAATGCAAGTATTTTCTAGAAGACGTGTGTTCTTCTTGTAAGTTTTCTACATGTTGTCTGTTCAACTAAGTCGACCCACACCACTGTTTATTTTATGTACATAGAGAAGTGTCATTCTGTCGCGCATTTGCCAAGTTTTTTTGTCCTTAACCAAACGAGACGCGGAGAAAGTGCCATTTGGTTTTACGACGGTAAATTTGCAGATGCCACTCGGTGATAAATGATGTCAGGGTACGCCCTGGTACACGAGAAAACAGGACAACAGTCACGGGGTTTTAAACATAACGCCTCGCCAAACACTGAGAAACAGGTCCAGAAAAAAACGTGTATTCGTAGGGCGTTGTACCGTAAAATAGCTAACAATCCCTGAATCATCAATCAGTGAAACAGGCTTTAGGCCTGTCTTCAAACCAACTTCACCGCTAGCGCTTCTTTGAGTGTGACACAGATACAACCTTCATCTAGCAAAGGACCAAAACATGCACTGCACAAAATGTCATATTTTACAATCCACAAGCATGACTAGATGACCCCCCTCACCTACGTACACACACACGTATACGTATACACAAAAAGATGCTAAGATCTTCTTTTTCTGGGCGTCTTCCTCGTTTAGATATCTGCGTTGTCTCTTTATCAGTCCCAGTCATGTTATCTTGCCTCGGAAGCCTGTCTAACACTTTTCCTGACCAATCCTTTGTAAATTGTGTAAACACTCGGTCCAGTGTAACACCTACCTACTTCAGATAGCTGTTATCGTGAGATAAGATACGCACGTCACGACACGGTGTTACCCAATAACGTTATCGTCAGAAACTCCTGTCACGCGATAATCCAGAATACCGGGGCCTAGTTAGCCTGGGTGCCAGCCTCCTTAGGACTCTGTCACACATAGCCGAACATGGTTTCCCGAACTCCCTCCAACCATGGCTAGGAGCAGGTCCCCAATAACGTTGTCGTCAGTAACTCCTGTCACGCGATAATCCAGAATACTGGGGCCTAGTTAGCCTAGGTGCCAGCCTCCTTAGGGCGCTGTCACATATAGCCAAACATTGCTTGGCGAACTCCCCCCAACCATGGTTAGGAGTAGGTCGGGAGCAAGGTTGGCTGGTGTTCGGCCAAGTCGACTACTGCTCGACTGGGCCAGCCGAATGTTTCAAAATGTTTACAACATTTGGGTGTGGACTGAGGGTTCGGCAATGGTTGGCTGATGGTTGGATAGTGATCGGGAGTAGGTCGGGGCGTGGTTGTCAGTGAAATTTGACCCAAATCTAACTCAAATTCCATTCGATTCTTGCAGCATTGCCTATGTATGTGATTATGTAATTTTATTGTTTGAGCCTTAGAAGATTAGCCCTGCAGGGCTAAAAGGCTTCGAAATAAATGAGAAATGAGGGCGTGGCCTAAAGCTGACCAGGCTGCTCTCAAACTTCACCGAGCAAGCAGATCGTTGACCTCTAACATTGACCAGGTGTATTTGAAGTATGCGACTCACTTTGATCACGGTTTTACCGTTTTAAACAAAGACGCCTTTTATCATGACCAACCCCCAACCCCCAGACACCTGTGCCTCATATAACAAACTGGACAAACAGTTACAGTCAAGTACCGGTCAGTGGCCATATATCAACGGGCCGGACTATCGGACTTATTGAAATTGGGGAAAGGGCAGTTTGAGGTTAGGAGGACACCTGAACACACAGTCCTTGAAGCTGCGACGAAGGTTAGGCTGGGTGGCAAGGTGGTCTTGTGGTTAGGGCTGTTGACTAGGAATCGGAAGGTACTGGGTTCGAATCCCTGGCTGTGTTGTGTCCTTGGGAAAAGCATTTCACAGCTATTTCCTTACTTGACTGAGTTGAAAATGAGTACCTAGCTTCGGTTAGGGACGTCCTCACGGATGGGATGTATACGTAGAGACTTCGAGTTGGTGGGCAAGTCTTGGAGAGAACTCAAAATGATGGGAGTTGGGCCCCCTGATGGCTTGTTATGGTACTCAAGCGGATATTCTGGTTTTAATATCTCATAATTTAGACATGCTAGGGTCATAAATCTTTTGTATTAGATAGCTCTTGCTCTTGGGATAAAATGGCATTAGTTTTGGCCCCCTATAGTAGCTTGTGCAGTCTCTTTTTAAATTCTCTTTTCAACATCAGATGTGAGATACGACTCGCGTTCATTAAAAGATTCGAAATGAACTGCTATCGAAGTTTAAACATAGTATGAAGTCAGACAAAGAATATAACAATTCATGTTTTTGAAACTGCTGGCAAATAACATAGAAATTCCAAAACAAGAAAAGTGGTTTCATATAGCACAAAATACAGCAACCGGTTACTTTGAACTCTTAAACAGCCAAAACATGAGTAGAAAAAGAGAACTCTCATATAAAAGTCAAACAAGAACAGCACTTGTTTCATATGTTTACCTGTTACATAAGTGTTTGCCTCCCACTTATCCAGTTTTATAGGTATGTTTGTAGAGGTGGCGAGGGACAATATACCTTATGGGAGGGACAAGTTGTTTTAAAGAACGTGCAGTCTGTGTTAACAGGTGGGTGCCTTTGACACAGCACGAATTGATAATCATATGATAAGGACGTTATGTAATCTGAAGTCTTTATTGCGAATACCACATTGCAGACCTATACGGGGGGGGGCCTAAAAGTGCCCAATCAACTTTGATGTCGTATAGCGTCCGAACGGCTTGCGCTAGGGCCACCAAACTTGGTGACTTTTCTTAAAATATAGTTGGCAACAATTTCATATCAAAGAGATATGTTGATAATTTTTTTGTGTT